GAAGTATTTTTCTGAACCAAGCCTGGTTGCGTGAGAATGCTTCAGAACTGGGAGTTGGACATTGTGGACTTGACACCCACGCTCTCTGGGTCAGCGTCTCCGCTGTCCAACTGCTCTGACTGACAGTCAGAATCTGCCTTCCTGTAACTTAGATCCGGAATGAGAGAACAGATCTTGAGTGTCTTCCGTGTGATGGTCTTTCACCCATTTGAAGGGTGCCATCATGTCCCCCCCACTCGTCTTTCCTCAGAGCAAAACCATCCAGCTCTGATAGTCCATAGTTCCTTTCTGCTCTCTTTTGACGTCGCTCCAATTTCTCTGAATCTTCCTAAGGGCACAGAGCCCTCAAAGTAGTCCAAAGCAGACCTTCATCTTTGGGGAGGTGCCTTCTTTTTGAAAGCGGGACTTCCCGCATCCTGAATAGATGGCCTGAGGAGGCCTCCTTCGAAGAACAGTATCTTCCTGGTCAGCTCTCACATCTGCAGGAACAAAGGGAGCTTCGAGGATCTCAAAGAGGAATCTGCTGGATTCTCCTTCCCAAGGAAATGTCCTCATTCTGTCCAATGGCAGAGCCGGTCTTGATATCTGACAGCAGTAACGGTCCTCTTTCTAATGTACAGCATATTCCAGAATTGTTTGCAGCCTAAAGTTTTCAACTGGTGATCGAGCCAATCCTTACACTTCCTTCTTCTCACCCCACTCCTTTCGGACATTTCCAGTCTCGCTGCCCCCACCTCCTTAAGACTCCAGCTGGGCCAGGCCTGCCCCCCATCCTTGTAGGCAGACAATCAGGGATGAACAAATCAGAGGACCCTATGCAAAGTGGACTATGACACCTGTCCCAGGTGGGCCAATGGGGCATCTGCTGATGCTCAGGCAGAGGAAGTCAATTTGGCTTCCCAGCGTTGGGGGAAGTGAGACCACAAGTCTGGACAAAGGTGGGAGTGAGAGAACAGGACAAGGTGCGTGGGTTGGCAGGAAATGGGGGGACACACCACTTTGCAGGTCCCATGGGAGGGGAGAGGAAGATTTCTGGCCAAGCCCTGAATGTACAGCTGTCTTTAAACTAGTGCTAGGCAAGGAAGTTCTTCTGCACTTCCCCCTGCTGGTTTGCCAAATTTTCTTAAGAGAAGGGAATCTTGGTGAAAACTGTCCAGGGTGCAGGGGGTGTTCTTGCACTCATGTGCTGCTGAGTGGCTGTGCAAGTGCACAATCTTTCATCGCACAATCTTTCTCCAGGAGTCTGCCGCTTTCCTGGCTCCCTACCTTTCACTTAAACCCCAAGGTAAGACCCCCAATGGTCCCCCTTCATGGAGGCCATTTCACGCTGGGAAAGGAGGGCAGAGAGGGAGGCTGCCGAGGGATGAAAGGTGGCTCATGGCAGACCATGCCAGTAGTAGCTGCTTTGGCTCCTTCCAGCCAGAAAGTTTCTCCCGCTGACACATTAAAAAAATCTTTTCAAAACAATTATCTTGAGAATGAGACACTGGAGGAAGAGGGTCATGTTAGCCTATGTTAACCAAAACATGTTAGCCAAAACATCAGGAGTCTCGTAGCATCTTTTCTGACTAATACATTTCATTCAAAACGTATGCAGCGCTCGCGAAAGTTTCTGCCTTTGAATAAAACTTGTCAGTTGGAAAAAAGTGCTACCAGACTCCTCCTGATTTCCTGAGAATAAGGTGGTACAATTATAACCACACGCTTGTTTTGGAAGGGAAGAAAACATTTGAAAACTTTAAACAAGTACTGATGGCTCTTTTCCTTTTTAGTGAGCTGTTCTAAAGAAAAGAGGGCAGGCAAGGCTTTTATTCAAATTATTACAAACTTTTTTTTTCTTTTTCTGTTGCCTTCCTACATTCAACTCAATTAATGCAAAAACATAAACGGGGCTAATGGGTGAGACTAAGAAATTGGTCCCTGCCAAATGGTGAGGAAAGGGACATGAAAATGGCCAACTGAATGCAGTGAAATCAAACACAACATGCACATAGCAGCAAAATATAATTAAAAACCTCATTTCACACATATTTTATATATGTGTGGTGACTGGCAGTGAATGAGATCTCAGGGCACTGGTGGGTGGGGAGCCAGATCGAAATCTGGGCCCCACCTGCAACAGGCACGAAAATGGGCGAGTCCCATCCATACAAAAAGGACAGAAAAAAATTGCCAATATTGCAATGTCTTTATGCAAAATACGGTGGGGAATTGCTCAGAGAAGAGAAAGTCACATCAGTGAAACAGAACTGCTTCTAAGCTCTCTAACTACAGAAATAGTTCACAAAATGGTCCACCTTTCTAAAGATAAATATTGGAAATTCTGAGAAGCCGTTAAGGTGACAATTCTAGATCTGGACTCTGTAATTCTGGTAATTCTAATTGGTCCTGTTACCGCCCCCCCCCCGCCCCGCTTTATGTTTCTGCATTAATTCCTCGCCCCTCTCAGTTTGCTCAGAGGAATGACGTGTAACACAGCTTCGCTTTCCAGGAACAGCTTGCAGGGCAAGGATGAATTCACCGTTGGACAGAGAGGAGGACCTTGCGGGGGAAGAACTCAGGCCTTTGGATCACTACATACGGGAAGGTTGGTCTCCTGTCTTCCTGAAAACAGGCTCTATCTAGAACAACACTAACCAGGTTTCGATGGAAAGCTGCACCCCAGGACAGCCTCCGATGTACTGCATCAACTAACCTAAGACATCAGATCTGCAGTGGGGCCTCCCAACCTCTTTGAGGGCTGAAAGGCTTTACCAGGATTGACCTTTTTAATAATACTTTAAAGGTGTGAACAGACTCTAAAGGAGTATGGAGATGGCCTTGAAGAAAATACAGGCAGTCCTCATTTAGCGACCACAATTGGGACTGGCCACGCCGTTGCTAAGTGAAGCGGTCACTAAGTGGGAAACTATGTGACCTCAAGTGTGCTTTCCTTTTCCCCACTCCCCTACCCTTGGGATGCTCCCCCCAGCAGTGTGGGATAATTAGCAAGAAGGGAATTAATGTTTGTATTTACATTTATTGGAGAGGAAGGGATTACAAGAGAGTAAGCAGGCACACAATAGGGAATACACATCAAAAGGAAATCACTGGTGCTGGCAGCCCCAAGCTTGCTACACAAACACACTGGTGTATTCCCCGCTGCTTACTCTCTTGTAATCCCTTCCTCTCCAATCTCTCTGTTCTGCGGGGGTGGAGGGGACAACAGGCCAGGCACAGACCATGCATACAGACACATGACTGAGAGATGCTGCGAAGGTCCTAATTGTGGGCAGTGGTCATAAAGTTATGTTTTCAGCACTGTTGTAACTTCAAACAGTCACTGAAGAAGGTGGTCAGTAAGCAAGGACTGCCTGTATGTGGTAAAATGTGAACTCAGCCCAGATAAATAGGAAAATGTGAAAAAATAACTCAAGATTGCCCCGCCTCGACTCTCTTTAGGGAAGAAAACAAAAACACAGGCTTTCAAGGTCATGTTGTTATACTCTAGGTCAACAGAGTTCTAGTGTGTCTTGTGGTATCTGCTTCCTAATCTGGCCTACCTCAAAGGGCTGACATGGGCAGGTGAGGCCTGTGGGAAGCCAATAATTCCTATGCTAATCCTTGCCCCTGCCCTCCCCATCTCCAAAAAACAGCCTGAAAGTTGCTTGGCATTGGATGGCATCTCTTGATATGATTCTGTGTGCCTGCTGAAAACTATACAGAGTTCTTGGTTGATAAGAGGTTGTGCTTTTCTGTATAAACATGGCAAGAAGTCTGAGTTATCTTTCTCTGGTTTTTCAGGGCTGAAACAGCTGTATCAGGAAGAGCTTCTGTGTGATACGACCATCGTGGCTGGAGGGGAGCGATTTCCCTGTCACAGGTATCATTCTATTGTGCACTCAGCTTTTCATAGAATCCTCGGGTTGGAAGGGACCTCGGAGGTCTTCTGGTCCAACCCCCTGCCCGAGGCAGGAGTCTGCATGCCATTTTGGACAAATGGTTGTCCAATCCTTTCTTGAAAACCTCCAGTGATGGAGCACCCACAACTCTGGGCGGCTAGCTGTTCCACTGCTTAATAGTTCTCACGGTCAGGAAATTCCTCCTGGTTTCCAGATTGGATCTCCCTCTGACGAGTTTCCATCCATTGCTTCTTGTCCTTTTATTGTTACAGAGATAAGGTTGTTGGAATTTACTGCATCCATCCGATTCTTTCCTTCCTTCTCCTTCCCTCCCTCCTCCTCCTCTCTGTCCCCCCATTTCCTTTCTTCCCTTTTTTTAATAAAAGGGAACCCAAGCAGACAATACAGTCAAGTGCTTTCTGGGAGTTGAATTTATGTGATTGTGGTGGAAACCACTATCTGAAAGGAACACCACGGTGATTTATAGTATTGTCCAAAACACAAATTTGCCCTTCTCTTGGGACAGTATTGAAAACATGACTGTCCAACAGGACTTTTCATAGGTTTCTCTTTCCATAAGCATATTTGCTTCCTTTCCATACTTTCAGTATTTCTTGGTTTGGAGTCGTTTTTTTTCTAGAACTTTACATTATTTTTATTCCTCGATGTTTACTGTGATGCTCAAGTGGTGATGCCAAAATGACGCAGGAGAGAGATTACCAAAATACGCAAAGTAAAAACAAAAACAAAAGTAACCACTGAAGAATAAAAATGAAGACTTCCAGAGGAAGAAATGGTGGACTGAAGATGGCTCCGTGAAAAGTGGAGCCTATGACCATGGTGAAGAATGAAGAGCTGGTGAGTAGACCGGTTCTTCGGAACCTCTCCAGACCAGGGGAGGATGGGAGATCACCCACTTGCGCTCTGAACAGCAGTCCCTGGCGGGTTTCAAGCACTGGAAAATGACAGAATAACCACCTTGCTTGCAACCGCATTCGGCACCTTTTAAAGGACACTAAATTCGCAAACTTCCTTTTCTAATCACGTTCAGAAATTGCTTGTTAACTACTTTTAAGCTAGTAGAGACCTTCAGATCAACAAATATGAAAACACCAGGGGAATTTGCCTTCAATTCTTAAGAAAAATTTTTTTTAGTCATAAGCTAAAAAATTTGAAATAAACAGCAAAAAGCTAATAAGACTTAGAAAGTTATAAACGGATTAAGGGTCCAGATAAATTTGGAATACGATTTTGGAATTAATTATAAAGAATCCTTCCCATGGGAAATAGATTTGTTTGGACTTTTGCAAGACAAAATAAAGATAAATAATTTTAAAAACTGGACACTAGAGGGAACTAAAGATTTTAGTTAAAGGAGAAAAATACATAAGCCTGATTAACAGCTAATTAACTGGGACTTATAAAATGATGCAAAATGTTATAACATCAAAAATACTGAAGGACACTTTTGAAAAATGGAATCAGAAGTTATGTGATGTTTGCTTGTATTGATAGATTATGTCCAAAAGATGTTATGGAAGAAATGTCAGATGAGGAACAAGTTTTATTCAACAAGACAGAAATGGCATTGAAAGTGGATCTACAAATGACAGGCTACGAGAATGACAGGGAAAAGGACATTCCACTGGACATACAAAAGAAACCCAGTTGATGTTTTAAAACTCAAAAAGGAAATATAAATAATAAGCCAAAAGAGTGACCTGGATAATTATTTTATATTGGATTTACAAGAGTCTTGTTAAAGCTTTGAAGAATCTTGCGAGAAGAAATGAAAAGAAATTAAATTCTACAACATTACTGGAATGGACTAAAGATTAAGACTGTTAGAAGTAAAACGAAAGAATATAAAGTTAGTTTATTTGGTCAAGGTTAAAATAAGATATGTTGTTATTTCTGGTAACTCTTAATAGACTTTCTGCTGACACTATGACTGAAAAGATGATGCTTTATGGATTTGTCTCTAGATAAGGGATGGGATATGGGATAAAGAGATAGTTGGCTGTAAACGAAGAGGGGGTGAAGAATTACAAAAATTGTTTATACTTTTGATGAAGGTTGGAATTCGCTTCTTTATATATTTCTTTTCTCTTTCTTTACTATATTTTTACTTTTCTTTCTTTTTTCTGTTTTTTTCTTCTCCTTTGCATCTTTCACTCTATTCTTTCTTTTAGTTTGTATTAGAGGTTACATATAGCATGTAACATATACAATGGTCTATTAACACTATTAACACCTCTAGATGGAAGCACGTGGCTGAAATTAATTGATTTTTATGTCCACAAAGCTACCCCAACCTTAACTCAAGGGAGGCTTCATTTTTTTATATCATACATTACAGTTTTCTAATATTTTGTAGTAACCTGTAGAATTTTTCCCTCACTGATAAGAACAAAAACTATCATCCCATGTCTGAGCAGAAAAACATCCAAAGAATTTAACACAGGAGCCTACAAGGTGATAGAGACCTGGATAACCCCCCAAACAACTGAACACTATCCACCACAGTAAGATCAGGCCAAAAATAGCAGAAGAAGAAATGGCAAATCCCTGAGAATGAGGTGGAAAAACAAAAGCCTCTTTGGCCAGAGGGGAAACTCTTGGAAACTTAGAGGGAAAACACAGCTCTTGCTTGCGTTGAATTTTCTCCGCCTAGGATGCTCCTGGCAGCTATCAACCCCTACTTCCGAGCCATGTTCTCCAACTCTTTCCGAGAGTCCCAGGATGGAGAGGTGCGTCTGCAGGACATGGATCCCTCCATCGTGCAAGCGGTGGTGCGCTATTACTACACGGAGGAGATAGTACTCACGCCTGAGATGGCCGAAGACCTCTTTGAAGCCGCCAGCCGCCTTCAGATTCTTCCTCTGCTGGAGAGCTGTTCCAGGTAAGCACCGCGCTGCGCGTTGCCTGCTGAATGTTGATGGCCGGGGACCCCAAATTCTCTTCCTGCTCAGGAGCGCTCTCTCCAGTTCTCTTAAACAATAGCGAGGAAAATATAAATAATCAAAAGCAAGGCCAAGGTGAAACAGTGACTCCCAGGATAATAAAAACTAGCTAGGTGGGGACATCAACCTTGTTCCTTTTTGCCTGCCGCTAGAGTCAAAGTCTCACGTCTGAAACGTTTTTGCCAGCCGTGGATGTGACCGATTGGTGCAATATTCTTGTGGGTATGGTGCAGATGCAGAGAGAGTGGTCAGCCACGGATGGATACCCTTAACCTATTTGGGAGGGAAAAAAGCACAAGACAGCTGAGAGAAGCCGATGTAATTGATTGGCGCATGAAACTCACTGACAGGCGAAAAAGAACAAGGGGCCCAGTGCCCACGGTCCTGCAGAAGGACGTATCTCGGCCTCCCTCAGGCTGAGCCTCATGGGAGCTGGTGTCCAGCAATACCTTGCACACCTTTGGGCTAAGGGCCGCCCTTGGCCTTTCAGTGGAAACCTGGCACCACACTCTGCCCTGGAAAAGGACAATTTGGGCACTCGCTCCAGCTCTGGGCAGCCACCGGTTGGTTGTGTGCCTCTGCCTTGGGAGAAGTGACTCGCTCATCCCCGTCCAAGCCTGGGGAAAAGGTCCAGGGGAGGCCGGGGGGCCGGCGCTCCCTTCCTCGGCAGGGCTGGGGGCGAGCCGTGGCCCCAGCCGCTGCGAGGGTCCCTGTCCCCGCAGGTTCCTCCTGGAGCGCCTCTGCCCGGAGAACTGCCTCAGCGTCTACCAGCTGGGCTACGCGCACAGCGACCCGGCCCTCTTCCAGGAGGCCAAGGGCCTGGTCCACGCGCACTTCAAGCGCCTCTCGCAGGAGGCGGCCAGCTTCCTGGAGCTGAGCCCCAGCCCCCTGGCCAGCATCCTCTCCTCCGACAGCCTGCTGGTCTCCTCCGAGCTGGTGGTGTACCGGGCCGTGTGGCGCTGGGTGGCGGCCCAAA